GTTTTTCTAAAAGCAATGGCAACAGTCCTGTGGCTCCATCTCTCTGCAATGAAGACTGAGGCACATGTTCTCTTGGTGTGCACAAGAGAAAGAGGAACACAGACACTTGTGTACACCAAGCCTTAGACATACTTATTTATAACTTCTAAGAAAGTTACTTTCTTCTCAGCTAATGTCTTCCAGAATAATTTATCAAGTACCTGGAAATACATCATGTTTCTGGACTTTTTATAAAGGGGAAATCTCATATTATGCCCTGTAGCATCTAAATAGGCTCTGAGGGCTGTGGGGGCTGGGACTCGGCTCCAGATCCCTCTGCCCAGCGCCTGCCTGTAGTTACCCCTGCCCAACTCGTTGTATCATCTCAGAGGTGCCATAAAGATTTCTTGCATTTAACTGCCACATTCTCTGTGCATAGATTGGAGCTTATGTTGAAATAAAGGTTCAAAAGGGAAAAAAAGGCAAGACTGAGATCGTCCCAGTGTCCACAGGGCCCCTTCAGATGCTGTTTGCAGTCTGCAATCAAGGCAAGAGTAAATAGTTCTGCCCCAGTGTCTTCTAAAAGAAGCACGCTCCTAATCATCTTATTTGTGTGCAGCCTCACATTCCCCTGTGGCCAACAATGACTTGTTGCATATAAGCAAGTGTCACATTCAGTCAGTCTGGAGGACTCCGGCAACAGTGCCCTGTGGATGTGGTGGGGGATGGAGGTGGGTAGGTAGGGGCCCAAGCCAGCTTTGTTCTTGGGGAAAGAGTGTTTTCTTCTCATCACTTCACACAAAGGTGATTTCAGCAATTCCATTTGGTTTCAACTGCTTCTCTTTAAGTTGTGGTGGTTGTCCTGGCTTTTTTTTGGTAAGCCTGCTTTAGTATGGAGGGCATACACTACAATCATCCATTTTTTTCATCAGCTCTTGCCTAACAACACCTCCCTCTGCCCCCAAGCCCTGACAGTTTCCTGGTGTCTGTCACTACTGGTTTGTTGGAAGGTGGTGGGGGGTGGGAAGTAAGGAAGGAGCCAGGAAGGGAAGGAGGGAAGGAGGCAGGGAGGGAGGGGAGGCAGCCGGTTCAGACAAGCTCTGTGTGTGGTCCCAGGCTTGTGCTGTTGCATGAAACCCGTGCTTCATTCCTGGCTCGGGTTAGACGTACACATCACTGAATGAGCCCCTTATCCACTTTCCAAAACACTGACGCGGTTTGAAAGGGCTCTGTGGGCAGACTGTTACTATCAGCAAAAGCAAACATGCCGGCATATTTAGTTAAGCATTTTTTAATATTTAAAAAACATAAACTTTAGCTCTTCACAAGCATTGTAGCTAAGGAAGGAAGGTAAAAGGGACAGAACACTATAAAGGCTCCTCCAGGTGGGTCACCATGTTTTTTAGAGGACTGCTGCAGACTTCCAAGTTTGTTCCCAGCTCCAGAGCTAGAATCCAGGACCAGTGTGGCCTCCAAGGCTGGGGGCTCAGGACAGGCTGGGTGGCAGTTCGATGTGGGAGTCCCTCATGGCCTGTTCGCGATCTCATGTGGTTTAAGGTTTTAAGCCTGACCTACTGTTCCCACTCTTTGAAATATAAAAGTCTAGGCAGCCCCACCCTGCAGAAAAGAGGCTCTTGGGTGGCAGCATAATCACCAAGCTAAGCTGGGAAGCTGAGGGTGTATCAAGCCAGGAGCAGGTAGAGCAAATGTTATCCCTGTGAGCCCAGTCTGGGTTCACTGCTCTTCAGGCCTGGGGCCTGTAAAAACAGCCTGGCCCAGGGCTGTGACAGACCACAGTGCCTCCACAGCAGGGGCATCCCTTCCTGCCTGGACAGGATGGCACCAGACACCCGCCCACTAGACCTTGTCCCACTAGCTGGAAGTGGCTTTCTGGTTTATGGAACAAGATGGACATGTAAAGTGAGAAATTCTTCTCAGCCAGAGCGAAGTCCACACCCCACCTGCACCTTGGTTCAGGGAGGCCAGCCAGGCCTCTAGGCCACACTCCCCTAGTGCCACCCAAGGGTCTCAATAGGCTCACTGTCTGCCAGAGAAAACCAGACCTTGGATGGGGAACAGAACAGGCTAGAGGTGACAAGGGACATGAGGGAGGACAGGAGACTTTTTCTTTCTAGGCTCTGTGAGGGAAAGCCAGCCAAGGGGTTTGCCAGGCAGTTCAGTCTGCTCCAGGACTATGGATGCACAAATAAATGGCCCCATTCAAAGAAGACAGGCCTAAAGGGCTTCTATAAAGCAGCTACCTCCCATGTCCCAGCCTGAACTCCTACCTCCTGTTACTGCAAGCTGTCCCCTAGGTCCTTCCTCCAGGTCAGGCTCTGTATTCTGCTGAGTTTCTAAGTCCTCCATGTCTCGGGTTAGTTTCCTAGCAGGAGCTTCTTGTCTTCCACCTGTCTACAGTATGTATGTGGATACTGTTATTTAGGGATGTTGTAGGACTAGAGAAGGGCCAGCTTAGAAGTACCTCAGGACATGGCTACCACTGATATGAATCAAACTTTGGAGCAGTGTGACAAGATCCTAGGGCTCTGCTAGCAGCATTGGGGCTGGATGGCAACAGGAGGTCTTGGGGTGCCCCATCCTCCCAGCATGATAGGATGTGAAATAAAGGTGAGGGGAAAGTGTCTGCCACTATCCACCTACACACTACTCTTTCAGCCCCCAGCAGCCATGGAGATAGAGTTGGGGAAGGGGATCGGTGTCATGTCTCCACTCTTGCAGAGAAAAGACCTTTGCATCAAATGGCAAAGTGTTTGCACATAACCTACCACATCCTCTACACTTCTAAAAATGCTTATCGCAGTGTAAATATTGAAAAAGCTAGTTTACTGTATTGTTTAGGGACTAATGACAAGAAAAATAAATTTGTACATATTCAGTACAGATGCAAATTTTTTCCAGTATTTCCCATCCTAATTCACACATGTAGAACTGCAAATGTGAAGGCTGGGCTGTGATAGAGAGCAGTCCTCCCACTACCTAACGGTCTCCAAAGCTTCACCACTCTAAACCCCTGTGACACAGACCTGAGATAGCTACTGACATGTCACCCTTCAAGAAGCCGGGGCTGGGGGAGCAGACCTCAGAACTACCATCTAAGGACCCTAGCCTTTTTGTGGTGCCAGTAATCACCACCAGCAGGGGACAGATGAAGGGAGGAAGGAAGGACCTGCTTCACCACCACCCTTTTTCTCAAACCAGTCAACCATATGATGGTAACATAATGTGTTCTGTGTAGAGTAGGTGCCCAGTAAAACCCTGGCAACCTCAGTAACTAGGGTTGGAGATCCATTAAACCCAGCTATTTCCTTTCTGGGTATTTTTCCAGATGAACTGAAAACATCATACCACAGTGATACATATGCACTCATGATTATAGTAGCGTAATTTGTCATAACTAAATCTTGGAAACAACCCAAATGTTCATCAAACAAGGAAAAGGTTAAGAAAAGATGTGGCATTTTATTACAATGGAGTATTACTCAGCTATTAAAAAGATAAACTTGAGGCTTATATAGGTAAATGGATGCAACTGGAGACCATACTCATAAGGGAAATAAATCAGACCCACGTGTACAGACGTCATATTGTCTCCCTACTGTAAAAACCTGAAAGAGTAAATAAAATCTGAAAGGCATAATAGTTACTGTGAAAGGGAAAAATACTGTTCAAAGGGAAGGAACAATTGGGATGAGGGAAAGGAAAAAAGAAAGGAAGAAGGGAGCAGGGAAGATAGCTCAGGAACATAAATATCTGCCTGGCAAGCACAAGATCCTGAGTTTGATCATTAGTACAAAAAAAAAAAAAAAAAAAAGGAAGGCAAATATATATATATATATGCTGATTTCTGCTGATCTATTGAAAGGAAAAGTTAATCCCTAATTTTTTTCTCTCCTTTTTAATTTCTTATAATTTTTTACTAATCGCACATGCTTATATCTGGTAATCTAAACAATTAATTTGAAGACAACAATATGCAATATAGCAATCATTATTGAATTCCTAATATTTTGTTTAGTGAAATTCTAATTTTTATACTATTTTCATTCTCTTTAAAAAATAGAAAGTAAAAAAATCCAAAAGAATGTCCCCCAAAGATTCTTATGTTTAGAGATGGGGCTTTTGGAAGATGTGTAAGCCATGGGCACCAACCTTATCAACTGATTAATCCAGGCAAGGCATGGTGGTGCAAGCCTGTAATTCCAGCACTCTGGGAGGCTAAGGCAGTAGGACTGCAAACTCCAGCACTTATCAACTCAGCAAGACTGTCTTGAAGTAAAAATTAGGAAAAAAAAAAAAAAAAAAAAAAAAGGTAGGATGTTGCAGTGCAGTGCAGTCCCTGGATTCATTTTCTAGTATAATCATTAGGCAGATGATCAATGCATAATAGGTAGACAGATGGATAGAATTCCTTGATGACTTCACAGTGAATGCATTGGGCCTAGCTGGACAAAGCAGATCCCTGGGAGCATGGCCGGGGAGGACTTGTTCCTGTCCCCTCGCCCTTCCCCTCCCTGCTTCCTAGCTGCCACAAGCCGAGTGGCTTTCCTCTGCCACATGCTTGGCCATCGTGTTTCTCCCTTGCAGCCATCTGACCATGGTAGAAACCCTCCGAAACCATGGACAAAAACACACTTTTCCTTCTTTATGTTGTGGGAATCGGGTATTTTGTCTCAGAAACAAAACGGTGACAAACGCTGACGCTGTGAAGGCTTGGCGCAGCACTGGAGATGTGAGCGCTTTGTCGCAGGCCCTGCCTTTCTTGTGCTTCTGCGAAGCCGTGGCTGGAGGCCATGTGTCCAGGGTGTCCTCCTTGTGCTCTGGAGGATCTTATCTGGTATCATTCCCACCTAGAACCAAGTATCTTTCCTTGTGCCCCTTTGGTCTTGTTCGTGGACCCTATTGCTTCATGGGTGGGGACTTGCTCAGCCTTTGACATGCAGACTCGTTACATGTTGTGATGTGGTTGTATCATGCTGACTTCTCCTGCCACTGACTTACAGGCCACAGAGGAGACACTTCTGCTTCTGAAGCTGCAACACAAGTCAACCTCAGTGAAAAACTACAAGCCACTAAAATAACCATGCTAATGGACCGAATGCTTGTCTCATATAATAAAGCCCTGATCACCATTGTGATGGTATTTGGAGGTAAGGTCTTGAAATGTAATTAGGGTATGAGGATGAGGCTCTCAAGACAGGATTAGTGGCCTGATTAGAAGAGATGCACTAGCTCTCTCTCCACCATGTGAAGGTCTACAGAAAATGGGCCCATCACCAGATACCTACTCTCCTTACAGTTTGGTCTCAGACTTGTGAGCCTTCAGAATTATGAAAAATAAATTCCTGTTTTGAAAACTACCCAGTCTGTGATATTTGTGATACCAGCCAGATCTGACTAAGACAATCAGTAAAAAAAAATGGTTGAATAAATCATATAACCACACAATGGAATACAATATAGCCACTTTAAAGAATAATTTGGAATTGGCCATATGCTAACTGGAAATTATCTCTAATATGTAGTAGGCAAAACCAGCAAGGGCCAGATTGTCAGTATAGAAAAACTCCTTTTATGTAAATAGTACATAATATTCTCTGGTTTAAAATGAATTTCTGTAATTGCACAACCACTAAAACTTCTTTGGACTTCATTGTTCAGGTCTTTACAGTGATATTTCAAAACTCTATTTATATGGTCATTTTATCTTAAAGGAGAAGGCCTGTGTGTGCTGGTTAAGTTGAGTAAAGGACTTTTGCAGGATTGTCCTGTGAAATGAAGGAGCTGACCAGCAAGGAGAAGAGAGAAGCCCCAACCACAGTTTACTGTGCTAGTGACACCACAGGCAGTTTTAGCGCAAGCTGTTTCTGATTAACATCACAGCATTCCTGATGGCTGGAATGTAAACCAAATACCAATTCTGAGAATCCCAAGAAGGAAACTCCCTCTTCCATCCATCTATCTACCCTGTCTGCCCTCCTGGGCAGGGTTGTCTCCCAAGGGCAGGGAAAAGGAGAGACAGGAAAGGAAGAGGAGAGAGTGCACACACCTGTGGACAAATGCCCTCTGCATTGCCGCTTCTCTCCTCAGTGCAGGGAAAGTCAGAGGCAGCGAAGTCTCTCACGCACACATCAGAGCTGTGGCCTGCAGTGAAGACCATCCCTCCTGCTGGCACTGGATACACTGGGAGCAGTTGGCCCCTGGAGGCCACAGAAGGCTGAGGCGTAGAGCTGCCAAGGCAGCCAGCCCTCCAGGAAAGGCTGCACCAGGAAGTGCTGTTTTGTTTTTCCAAACTACTTTCTACCTCTTCCATCCTCCTGCCTTAACTTAGAAAGAAATGGTGAATCCGATTCCACCCATATTTCTTGAACACCTCCCATGTCCTCAGTGTGTTAAGAAAGTGAATGAGAGGTCACTCCATCTCATGAAGCTTCCAACTCCCCTGGGTTTCATCCTGCTAGCCACTGGAGAAGGAACCCCCTTCTGGTGTAGCTGTTTGGTGCCCAGCCAACACTCCAGTCCTGTTGTCCAGGGCTGTCTAGTGTGAGTCAGAAAACCAGGGTTTTATTCCTGGAGTTAGCACTAGCTGGTAGCTAATTTAGGGAACAACTTTCTTCCTTTGGTCTTTTTCTTTAGCCACTATATGAAAGATCATTCTTGAAGACAATGTAAGTGAACCAACCAACATACCACTCCCTGGCATCTGTGTAGGGAAAACACGCCTATGTTTACTTGGGAATTGACCTTTGGGGCAGTGGGAAAAGCCATGTCAACAGATCAAGGCAGGTAGGAGCCGAGCAAACCTGCCAGGCTCAAGGAGAACATGTCCTGCATGGTGGGTTCTGGGAGGAAGAAGGAAGTGATTTCAGTGCAGGCACAGGAAGGAAGGAGGTCTGAGGCCTTGCTGGTGCTCTGAAGAAAGGTAGGTCTGAGTATGTGGTGTTTATGTGAGAGAAGGGATGGGTAAGGAAGACAGACTGGAAAAGGTCTTTGGAATCTGAGATTTGTCAGACCCTAGTTAGGACAGGAGATGTAGGCAGAGCAGTGAAATGACATCAAAAGCCAAAAGCTGTGTTCTGCAATCTGCAGAGCTGGAAACTGTTTCTCTCCAGCCACCATGTGCATCTATTTTCCAATGCTCTGCTGGCCCCTGCAGGGATGCTTCATAGCAAAAAGCCACCACAGAGACATCCAGAGTGTGTCTACTCTTGGAGTACCTGAAGGGCAGCCATGCTGAATTTCCAGCTGACTTTCTGAGAGAGCCAGTGGAGAAGATCCCACAGAGAAAGTGACAGAGAGGGTGACTGAGTGTGAGAAAAGGTTCAGGGTCATGCCTGGAACCAAGGTACTTTCTGCTCTGATAATACTTGTCCAAGGTTATGCAGATAGTTAGTATATAGTTATCTGTGGTCACCTAACAAATAGCCACGCATGAAACAGCTTAAGCAGAACACATCTATGACTTCTCAGAGTCTGTGGGTCAAGAACAGGCAGGATCCTGTGCCAGATGGCCTGGCTTGGGGCATGGCTGTAGCTGAAGCAGCAGGCTGGGGCTCATCTAGAGCCTCAGTTGGAAAAGGAACTGCTTCCTAGCCCATGTGGCTGTCCTCAGGGGTTTGTGCCTTAAGCACTATGGAAGGGACAACCTCAGATTCCTGCTGAATGTGGCCAAGGCCACCATGGTTCCTTGTCCTAAATTTTAGGAGCACATCTGTAGCTTCAATAATGCACCCCTTAGAACTAGAAAGTCCAGTGCTTATTTTATAACAGTGCTATTATTGTTATAATTTCATATCTTACAGGTCAGTTCAGTGTATTCTCCTAAGTGTCATCTATTTCAGGAGAGCTATTAAGCTCATTGTAGCTTAAGGGAACCATCAGAAACAAGCAATTTAATAAGTAGAACTTGTTATTAGTTAGCATCACAGGGAGCACTTTTCTCTGGTCGTCTTTTTTTCTAGGCATCTGTGTTGTTGAGAAAAGTTAGGAGATATGTAAGGGACACCTATCAGAGAGCCCTACTGTAGCTGGGCAGAAAGGGGCAGAAAGGCATTGTCCTACCTATGACAAAATTAGTATAACCTGTTGTCCACCAGAAGGCTATGAGACATCACCATGGATGCAATGCTAAAATTAAAAACAAAACAAAAGGGCCCAGGGAGATTGTTCAGTAGAATAAGCACTTGCCTGGCAAGTGCAGGGTCCTGAATTCAATCCCCGGTACTGCAAAAAAAAAAAAACTCTGAAAATGATGGTGTTAAAGATGGTGATTACCTCAAGTGAGCATTCAACCAATGTAGCTGAGTAAAATTTTAAATCAGAAGCATACTGGAGTAAGACCCCCTTACTATAGTAAGACCCCATTTCCAAAGACATCAACTGTGGGTATGTGGGAAGAATATGTTTCTGTCATGGAGTACATATGAAAATGCTATCAATAACTATCTTATGAGCTGGGATTGCATGTAATTATCATTATCCTTTTGTTTATTTGTATTTTTTAATGGACAGGTGCTCATTATATAAAAATTGTGAAACTATAAAAGAAAATTCTTGTTCAGAACTCATTGGAAATAGGCCAAATCCGCAGGGCTCCATGTTCTCTGCACATTGCACAAAAGGGGCTTCTCTAGACCACTCTTGGATTCCCCTTGACTCTCCTGCCTATTAGAAATATGCACTATTAAAGGAATGGAAAGTAGGACTGGTCCTGAATCTCAGCAAAGAAAGCTGGAGTTCCCAAGATAGCTGTCCTAGATTCCTCGGGCCAACCTGGACCAGACCTATGTGTAACCACCATTCTCCTTGACTCTTATCTTTGTCCTTTCCAGCCTCTCCTTATGTCTCAGGAAAGGAACTGGCAGTCATGGTGCTTGTGTAGACTCTGATTCTGATACTATAGCTGTGTTCTGGCATGGAGATCAGCCTTATCTTTCATTTCCTATTTGTACAACAATGCTATTTTCTAGATTAGTGTTATAGTTTGTGTCTGGATGTCCTTCCAAAGCCTTATGCAGTTATGAGGGTGGGCTTCTAGAGTTGGTGATTGATTCTTTGTCCAATGCTGGGATTATAGGTGAGCGTACTACACCCACTCTGTGGTAGATAGCCTGTCTACAATGTAAGAGTGGGAAAGAGGTTTGCTCTCTGCTGCTCTTCCTTTTTTATCTAGTTGGTTTTGTTGTCTTTCCTTGCTATGAACTGTTTCCCCTCAGTGATACCACCCTGACTTGGAGCCAACTGAGTATGGACTGAAACTTCCACAAACTGTCAATTAAATAAACCTTTCCTTCTTTAACTTTGGGTGTCAAGTATTTTGTCTCAGCAACAAGAGAAAAGTAACTAAGACAAATGGGAAACAAAGGGGTCCTTCCAGGAAAGTCACTAGACTTTCCTTCTGTGCCCTCATCCATCCTAGCTGGACACAGATGAGCAAGATTAACCTAGATTTACCAGGACACCCAGATTACACAAGGCCCTCCAGTCCCTAGGACAGCACCCAAGATGACTTCATTCTAGAGACTTGCTACCTGAGCTAGGCACGTATCTCTCTTCTGGGTGAAAATTAGTCTTGGGAAGGTCTTCCTTCCCCAGTATGTCTTCCTTAAAGGCAACTATCTTTCTCCTTTCTCAGTTAGCTTTCCAGTTCCAGAGTGCATTATGTCCCCAGGCAACTCGGTAAAGTCAGCTTTTGGGATAAGTTTCTATTCGAGGAATAGTTAAAGCCACAGCACTCCTGATGACAAGTGGCCTCACTTCCTTGCATGTGTCTGAACGCCCTTCAAAAGAAAAAGCCAAAGAGTGATTGACAGGTAGAGGTACACACCAGGTACCCAACTTAGTTACTTTTCTCTTATTGCTGAGACAAAATACCTAATGCCCAGAATTAAGGAAGGAAAGATTTATTTAGCTCACAGTTTGTGGGAGTTTCAGTCCAAACTCAACTGGCTGTAAGGCAGAGTGGCACATGGCAGAGGACAACAGTAAAAGCTGGTGGAAAATAGCAACAGCAACTAGAGCGAAAGGGAGAAGCATCATGAACAAGCCTCTTTCCCTCCCTTATATTGTATGCAAGCTACCGACCCCAGGGTGGGTGTAGCACTCACATCTGTAATCCCTGCATTGGATTATGAATCAATTCTAATTTCTAGAAGCCCATCCCATAACTGCATGAGGCTTTGGGGGGACATCCAGGCACACACCATAACAACACCATACTCTTTTTCCCAATACTATAGAATGTTTCTGGACTCTTTTCCATGCCTCTCTAGGCTCTGTTACACGTTGGGCTCAACTTTGGAATTCTCGTATTAGAGCCAAAAACATCCTGTAGGTGCTAAGGTCCATCTCTGCTCTCTGCCAGAACTCGGTACCGCTATAGGTAACCACAAGTCACTGCCATGGTCAAACAGAAGCATTCCTGAGCTATGCACTAGCCAGGAGAAAAGCCAAAGAAGGGCCACAGAAGAGAAGAACACGGCACATGGGGAGAAACAGAAAGAGCTAGTACCTCTGAAGGCTGTTTGACCACACCTAAGAGTGGGCAGGCTGGACTT